TTGGTTGATCAGTTGGAGAAAATTCCTAATCAACATTTGCTTTTCTTAGGAAGGGGTATACGAGGCCATTCGGTCATATTGATCAACAAAGCCCTTCATAGAGTTGTACTCGATGAATAACACTGATTTCATGCTTCTTCCAAGTAGCATCGTGCTCTATAGAAATCAGCAGAAAATCGGCACTAACGCCGTAGTCCTCATCATAAGCAAATCTGTCGAATTCTCCAATTTTACTCGACCAAGAAGCGACACTGCCTTCATCGTTAGCCATAACCCTATTGGTGAACTCAGACAAAAATCACCAACTAAAAAGTCAAGATATGGTTATGCTGTAATATGTAGTCCACATGTGAGGTGCAGTCGCGCCGGTCCCTCGCGCACCTTTTCCGCCAAACATGATTTTCGTCAATGGGTTAAAAGAAACCGTGCTCAAAGTACCAGACATGGGCAAGTCCAGGGATTGTGTTTGGCAAAGATTCAAGACTTTTCTATATCAAAACCAGTCGTTGTTAATGAACCAAGGACCACTGTGACTTACAGTCCGCGGATTTTGAATTCTGATAAGAATAGGCCTGAGGCTCAGTGTGGAGCATATATAACTCGATGCATGTGTATGTGTAGGTCTGTTACCCGGGTGCGCTTCGTTGCGCGTGTCCGTCGAAACTAGGTCACGCCGCAGCCATTGCACGCGACGAGTCGGCCTGCGATATTTGACAGACGTCGCAATTGTCAGTGGGGCATACGCTTTGCGCTTGGTCTACGGCAGTCAGTTCAAGGAGAAGATAACACAGACAAATGCAAATCATTTGCTCCAATGACACTTGGTGGTACTGTAATGTCATCTTGAGACCTCAGTGTGTTGCGCCGCGCGCGAATTGGGCGGGGTGACCTAGTTTCGACGGACGCGCGCAACGGACGTTCTCCCTGTTACCCGAATCACACCACTATTTTTCTGTATTGGGTCGGTATACTGAGTTGTATAGAGGTGAATGTGATGAATGAGAGATGTATGCAGAAGGAGATCAAAATTAGTGTTAGGCGGCAGAAGGCAAATAGCATCCAGAAGCAGAATGCGTGGTCGTATCCCTACCGGGAATCAGCAATGTGTATGACATATTGTTAAGCTGACTTTGCAAATGTTACTGCTTATTTGAAAGAACGAACAAAGGAATGGATTCTTTCACTTACTAAAGGGTGAATCTCACTTCATGTTTACCGAGCTTCATTTTGAATTCTTGTGTTGGGAGAGCATGAAGCAAACGTAAATCGTAATCTTCAAATAAGCCCATGCAGACGAACATAGATGTGAAAGCAGTTGTGAAGAATAGTCTAAAATTAAGTTCCTAGAAGACCTTGCTTTCGAAGGGGCTTCTGCTTCTTCAAAATGATGACAGTAACAGAAAGGCTCCTATAATACTTGAAGTGTTAGGCAAAGTCTAGGGAATGCTTTGGAAAGGGTTCATAGCGGACATTGATAGAAGGGTTGAGAAATTTAGACATCTGAATTCTTCCATCTCAAAAACAGTAGATAAAGTAGTTTATAAAGTACGTACTACAATTTCAACGATCTTTGAGATAATATGCGAAAAAGATCCCTCAATTCGTTCTTGTGATTCGCTGGATGTTAAGAGAAAACTGTTATCATACTTTGTTCAATTTGGATTTTAGATTCTGTTTCGTTAAAAATGGAAAGTTAGGAAATATCGAAACTCAATGCGTGCATATGACATACTGTACAGCCGTGTCCGATTTGTGAAAAACAGAGGATGTTATCTGGTACTTCAAATTCCCTGTCGATGGACGTCAATAGACAGTCGTGACAGTCGTCTCCTCAACCCGCTTTTGTAGACAAAAGTAAAACGTATTTCTACTCCCGAGGACTCAAGTATTTTGCCCCAACGAATTTTCGCTTTTATTCAAACTCTTGCACAGAAATTCGGAAATTGGAGAGCGCTGTGAGATTTGTCAGCTTTTCTCGGATTTCAGTGTGAGCACTTCTGCAATTCCTCCAACTGAACTCTTACTTTAGGAATACACCGAGTGATTGTAATATTCCAAGGACCATCTCATGGTTGTCGAATTTCGCCTTATAATAGAGTGGTAGGTTTACTCCGAGGCATACAATTAGCTGATTGCATACAGAAATCAAATGGGACTATTTCACAAAATAAATCTTTTTAAACTCATAACTTACGCTAGCATCAAAAACAGCAAAGATGTGATAAAAAGTGCCAAGTAACCACCGATATTAAGGGTTTTTGCACCAATATCCGAGAGCTCATTTCTTATAGGAAACTCTTCGTCAGCTTCCTTGTTTCCGAAATTAAATATACACCTGAACGTAAACTATCAGCACACATATCCTTCAGCCCTGCTCAATCATTTAGTACAGTTCCAGATGGGATGTTGTTTTCCGCTGGTGTAAGCAATACCGCTGAAAGGTACAGTTTGCGATAGAAACGGTTGCTGAATTTTCCCTCTAGAATGAGCCTGTGGCACTACGAATAGCACATGGAACATCTTCTGGTCGAGAAAAAACCTCGACAGGGTGTAACAAGAACACAAATAAGTTTGGACGGAATACACATCCAAATGTGACCGTTTTATGACGGTCTTGTTGAGGCTGCAGGGAAGTGAGAACTTTATTTCTACAAATGCCCCGAATCCAATATTCGATTTTTTGAGATAGAAGAAGCGGCGAAAAAAATCCGCAATAATTATGCATCAACCCAATATGTTCTGCCTGTTCCCAGTGGAAACTCAGCTCCGAGTCCTTACCCCGCTTCATTTTGGTCTTACCAATTTACTCGCTCTACTGCATAGAAGAGAGCTGGGTTGCGATTACTGATTTGTTGCTCCACAAGCTAATATTAATCGCTACCGATTGGTCGGAAACATCGGCGGAGTGGAACTGCGGTGATGATGCGGGCGCTTTCAACGGCGGCACTCGTTCAGGATTCCTCCTAACTGCTATTGCCTCAACATGCGGTGAGTTTTCCCTTATCGCCACCTTTCTTAAGATTATGAGGAGCTCCACAAGTTACCAACATTCCGCCCAGCTTGTGTGCTCTCGGAACCACGCCCGTGCCCTACTGTTCCTTCTCTCTGCTTTTCGAAGTTACTTCCCAATTTATGCCGAGTCTCGTGGCACGAGCAAGGGCTATCAAAAAAGAGGTAGTGGCGATATTTATATGAAAGCAAACCTGACGACCAGAAACGTCAGCCCCGTCGCAGAAAGCACCAGAAGAATCAGTGGCAGAAAGATCGTAAACGATAAATACCGACTAGCCTTTTTGGCGTAGTCCTAAAATTTCAAACTGCGCTTTTTTATTAATACAGCTGGGAGATTTCAATACTCGATCTCCGATTAATACTCACATGTTCCGTCACAACACCAAAAAGCAGGTATTGAAAATCTTGCAACTGTTGATCCACAGCGTTGATCACCTAGGTACAGGTTTTAAATATCTCCGACTTAGAAGAATTTTAAGCACTACTCACCTGGACCAATAAGCCTCTATAAACAGTCAATTCTGATAGCATAGCTTCTCTCTGCGAACCCATTCGACTTATAGAAGTGTCAATCTTAACACTTTTCTTTCAGAGCTGCACAAGAAGTAGTAAAAAAGGGAAGAAGGAGAAAAGAGCAACGTCTAAGCTTACATCACTTCGTATCAGAATCAAGTTTTGCTTAATGATCTCCAGCTTTTCCTGCAGTGCTTTGGCGATCACCGTTTGCAATACCAGTTTCGGAAATGAGACATATTCAAAATGGAGTAGCGTTGAACCATATCATATTTTATCAAACTGTATTGCATAGAGTGGGCGCAACTAGTGTAATAAGTAAAGTGTAACAAACTAGAGTCAGTGAAGCTTGTTAAACAATATGGAAAGCGCAACAATGTGACAAGAATCGAAATGAATCAGAAGGTGGCTCGTTTCGCCTCTTCACTAAATGAATTACCATTCCCCACTCCACTTAAGGCTCATTAGTGTTTTGGGGTTAATGGACAGAGGAATGGGTGAAAATGCATTGTTCAATATATGTGGTTTAACAAAGTACAAAAATAACCGGTATTGTTGATAATGTTTGTTACTGGAAAATTTTCATAATTCCTTTAATAATTGGGTTATATTATTGAGATTATCCTCAATAGTGACAAGGTGTACCTCACCACCTCAATAGTAGGGCGGAGGTGGTGTAGTGGCAAGTGGCGCACTATATCACACGCACGGTCAGGGGTCCGAATTCCGGATCGATGCCGCCTAGGCCAACCAAGTCTTCCATCCCTCCGGGGTCGGTGAATTGGTACCAGACTCGTCTGGGAGGATAAAAGCACTGACTTGTACATCGGCTGGCCACCGCAAATCATTGTATATGCCACATACGCATTCAGTACGCCCCTACGATTCTGAATGGAAGTCGAATGCGTGGGCGCATCCCCAAACGGGATTGAACCCCAAAGACTTTATCCTTTTTCCTTTTATCCTCATTAGTATGCTTGTAACAAATTAGTTTATACCATATATATATCTAACATGAAAATTTATAAATTCGTCTTTGTATCCATTTCTCAAGAGAATGCCCATCACTGCCTAACTTTGTGTTGAACGTTTCAATCCTAGAACACGGGTTGACGATTCTCAATTTTTCTATGTAGTATATGAGAGATGTCTTATTGTTAATAGAAATATTAGTATCACAGTGAAAAATCTGATGACATTGAAGCCAAAATCATCTGTTCACTGCTAAGTGGCTCATAATAGCAAGCACATGGGCTGGGGATTCAACCGATAAACATTCAGCCCAACCAAATCTTCGATCAATTGTTTCAAAGCTCGTTCGGAATAAAAGCAATGACATGTAGATCTACTGGCCCGCTTGTGTCATTGCATAGGTCACATGCACACCATTTCAAGTCTGGATAGAAGTCAAATGCATCCATGGGCGCATCCCAGAAATTCGACTGTAACCCTCAAAGACATTCATTTTATTCTTTACTGGATATTATTGAGACGGCGGCGCAGTCGGTGCCCGAACCAACCGTAGAAAGCTTGGTTAGGAAAGTGAGAATGCCCTTCAGTCCCTGCATTAAAAAAATGAAAGAAGTGATACAAATCTGAGGAACTAGGGGATAAGGCTTACAGTATATCAGGGTCATAGCAAAAATGGTTTACGAGGGAAAAAAGTTATGGGTCAAGAATTGCAATTTGTCACTAACATCAGATCATTTGAAACTCTGTTTTCGATAATTGAGATAACAATAAATGTAGGGAAACTTACAAGCCGATCGGTGGACTCATCTAACTCCTTCCCATCTGATCCCGGTAAATACATTAGCAGCTTTCGTGCTTTATCAATTTCGTCTCGAGTCTTTTGCACAGACGGGGGTATCTAAAACTAACTTCGCATTCTATGCCAATTTGAATACATCTGTTCTGATGTTTGGAAAGTGTCAGTGTGCAAAACATTTTAGAAACTAGTTCTTCTGTGAAATATTTGAATGTTTCCATGGAAATGATAATCAAGCACGATTCTCTTTTGTATGTGCACTACTACACACACTAAGCACATATCCAAACATCAGCAGATAACTGGGCTACGGTTAATCCGCCATGTCCTGTGCTGATGACTTACGCCGCTCTATCTCCTCTGCCAAGCAAGACCATTACCCCTTTGCAGCCCCGGTCTGGAAACGGAAGTAGTAAAAGTACTACTATGCAGGTTGGGATTGTGATTAAAGTCGATGAGGATGAGGATGAAGGACGTCGGATGAGGCAGCTTGGATGGAAAACGATGGACGATTGTTGTGGCAACAACGAGGCCTCAGAGCCAACGATTAGGCAGAGCCATGTGCCCTCCTCTCTCTTCTTTCCGGTCACGGTATCTTCCTGGCGGGAGTACAGCGCGGGACTTAAGTTCGTCGAAATGCACAGAACCACTTAGAAAGAGCCCAAGGCCATATACTCGACACAAGTCCCAGCACGTTCCAGCAGTGGAGTATTCGGATTTGAACTAGTGAAAATACGTGTTGAGTACGGGGAGACATTTCTGCCTTTATAGTGTTGGCTAAGCAAGCTAAGGAAGGAAGAGGGAGAGAGACAGCCTATGCGCGTACAAGTGCGTGCCTTAAATAACAAATCCATAGGAATCATTGAATCCATAGAAACTATCAGAACTTCCCAGAGAACAAGGCGCCGATTATTAAAAATACTTTGACAGATTTTTCTCAGGCAGGTAGTCTTCCATTTGTGCAGAAAAAGAACGGGAAATGGTAGGCATATTCAGTAGCAGGTGCCAAGCGATTAGAAAAACCTTGGAGGAATTGTGATGGCAAGGAACAAACCCGTTATCAGTTTGGATTGAAACAGATTGGGGGAAAGGTCAAAAGGAGTTTTCTTTCAGGTTCTTATACTCCCACTACTGAAATTTTGAAGGGGGCAGAGGAGGGATCGCGCAAGATCAGTTGAATTGCTCGAGCACCCAAAACTAAATTACAAAACCGTACCTTGGCAATACTTTGTGGGTCGAGTCTGTTTTTTGTTGTACTAAGTATGGCGGAAATATTTACAATATAGCTGTTAATATTCAATATCAATGTCCTCTTGCCTTCTAGGAAATTACAACGAAGATTTCCATTAAAGCCTTTAACAAAAAGACTGATATCTGAAAATATGCATTTGCAAGTGACTACATGTACGAGTGACTTGGTTCAGAGTATTTCATCCATCGTTACAGTTTTGAAGGCACACTTCACTATATCAATGTTTCCCGAGAGTTTCAACGAAGACGAACCTGCGCTTCCCATTTATATATACCATGTGAAGTGATGTCGAATCCGACCCTGATCGCAATAAGGGCTCAAACCCAAAAACAACTTTTTTTGGACTTAAAGGCACCGTTTACGATAAATTTAGGGTACCATTTTTTGATGGGAATTCATAGAACTACTCTAGAATAAAGCGATAACAACGAAAAAAGCGCAAAAAACGATGAACAAAAAGAAATAGAAAGGGTCAAAAAAGACCTGGGAAGGGGGGTTGGACGAGTTTCACATTGGAAGAACGGCGGTTAAGGGAGTGTTCGGGCGAGTGCAGGAAGGCGACGCAATGTCTGCAATAGCAGACAACACACCCAAGCAGACA